TCTCCTATTGGGATTTGACGTAAAGAAGAAGCGTAGGAGGGATACCTATAAACGACCTGAAGAAACGTATAAACCGCGAGGCGTGCGAGTGGGAAACACGCAGTATTTCTAGCCTTTTTTTGTGGATTAAACAGTGAAATAAGGCCATGATCAGGACACTGGCTTGGCCATCAGTCGGTGCAGCTCGGTTACAGCACATGAAAAATTTGCCCGTTGCACTGATTGCTGAATTGCAGGTTTTTTTTTTGGCGTTTATGTTTCTTGCTTTTCGTTTTTTAGTACAATTTAGCGTTTACTAACTTTTGCGCGGGTTTGACTAAAATCCACTCTTCTTAGTCAGTTTTAACGCTCATCTGGTGAAATGTTATAGACTTACCAATTTTTCACTTCCATTCAAAGAAAATTTTTACGCTTTCTAACCCAGTTTTCTGCACTTTTGTTGCTTACATGGACGATTTGACAACCTTTTTGTTCAAAAAATATATATATATATATATACATATATTCTCGTGTGCTAAATTGAAACCCCTGAAAATTTCTTACGACTCAAGCCTTATGACCACTGGAGATGAGTACCTCTAAATAACTGGGACTTACAGAATCGCTAATAAAGTTTTTGACTAAGCCACAATTTTTTGTTTTAACTCCCTTACGCATTCACATCGGTTCAGCAATATTTTAGTATTATCAATTAGTGAAGGTGTGGTAATAAAATGTCTACTTTCAGATATGATTTGATGCAGCGATGTTGGCTTTCCGAACCCAGCGATCGACCAACTTTTTCAGACTGCAAATTCTTGATGAAGGAGCACCTGATGCTCGTTTCTCCGCCGGTAAAATTTTCTACAGATCCTTATTAGTTGTCTATAAAAATATATGCAACAAATATGACACTATAAAAATATATGACAAAATTTAGGATGAAGGCGCGCAAAGTTCTGGGGAAAAACGGGTTTTATCATTATGCATTATCTAAAAATGAGGACGCCAACTGCCCTCATGCCATCTCCAGCTCTTGCTGATGACATACCTAGTCAGGAGCTGCAACGGTGGCAGGAAATGAATATACTGCTGAAGGAGTCAATTTGCAGCTTAATGAGCGACTGGAAAGGTTGCTGGAAGAGGATCGAGCATCGATGGAGAGGTATAGCGAATGGCGGGATGCGGATGAGTCTGATGTGGATCTCAGAGCGCAGGCCACTCGAAATGGCTTCATTGCTGTGCCAACGCAGGAACCGCATACAAATGCCAATATTTATATGCAACACAATGGTTGACTCACAAATAAGCAGCAGTCATCGTCCGGATACATTCGAATGAAGGGATTTATTCCACAAAGTATCGTGATAACAATTTCAGGTAAATCAGCGATGGCGTGTGCTGTTAAACACGCCTTTACACATCCGCACAACGTGCAGGGTCGTTTGACCAACGCTGAAGTTGTAAATATTGATTCCAAATTTGTTGCTTGCTTAAGTCTGGAGTTCTATCTTGAGGCCACTTGTTTTGATGTCCTAGGCTTCAAAGACTGAGTTGGGGATGTAACACAGTACTGTGCAGTAAAATAAATATCCGAAATTTCGAGAATTTACTTTGCGCCGTTTTCAGGACAATTAGTTTCCACCGTGTAATGAATAATTCCAGTAAAATATCTATTTCTTCACTGTTTTTTTTTCGTTTTTTTTTTTTTTTTGAGTTTTACAATTTTCCTAAAGAAAAGAGAGCGAAACAACTTAGACTGTGAATGTTCTAGTTCATAATTTTGCACATGATCTGGGATTGTGTTGTCAAAGTTTCAAAAGCAAGATTTATATACATCTATATAATTTAATTCTTTTTAGATAGCCCAGACATATATGTTTTTTTTTTTGATCTATCTAAAAGGAATTAAATTTTTATCAGCACAGAAAGTCGTTAGTTACTGATAAGAATAAATTTATCATATCTGCGCCGAGCGGGTCAAAGGATTCTTTTTCAAAAAGTCTGACCTAATTTTATTGTTTTAAATTAACATTTGGAAAATTGAAACCGTTTTAACGGTGTTGTTCTGTTTTTTGTGAATGTAAATAATAAAACTTTGTAACTGACCTGTGTCTCTGCGTATACGGCTGTTGTGTCTAGATGTTACAGCTCCAGA